TCCCGCCCTCCCTGCCGCCAGGCCTGCCCCAGCGCACAGCCCCCCGCAGCTTCCTTCGAGCAGCCCGAGCCGGCGCTGAGGAACTGCCCGGGGGAAGGGGCCCCCGCGGGCGTCACCTCTGCCGGAGGGGTACTCGTTAGCGGTGCACTTACAGCTGTTTCGTGTGACCCCCTTAGAGCTTCCCCCGAGGGATCCCCGTGGGCTCCTCAGCAGGCAGCAGTGCAGCCATTTGAGCATGCATAAATGCGCAATGTATAGGATGCTGCTTATTAGCTACGTGTTAACACAAAACACTGTCCCGATAGAGTGCTTCTGAAATGCAGGCTCCCCCATCTTTCTGCAAGTACATCTTGTGTGTTCTTCGTTTCTGACTCTTTGAACTAATCTGAGATGTAAGTTGAGCACTAGATCTAGTTCTCCCAGGCCCTCAACACTCAACTCTCAATAAAATTTTTTCCAAGAATGATGTCAACAGAAAGCGCCAACAGTTTCACGCTGATCGGAGAGGCGTCAGATGGTGGCACAATGGAAAACCTCAGCCGGAGACTGAAGGCAAGTTTTACATGAGCTGGTAAACTCAGATACTTTTGAACGGAGCATCAGTTTTTCTAGGGGCACTGCAAGATTAAACTGCAGAGTTTCCTGTAGCACTGGCCTTCCAGTATTTTTGTTGGCAAGTAGTTCAGTAAAGCTGGCTTATTTTAAATCAAGATTTGACCTGCAGATAATACTTTGCCAATTGAAGAAGCACATCTATTGAAAACCAACCGGCAGCTGCCTGTGGCTTCACCTGAACTAAGGGTGAGCTCTTCCTGCAGGTTACCGGTGACCTCTTTGACATTATGTCTGGGCAGACAGATGTGGATCACCCTCTGTGTGAGGAATGCACAGACACTCTGCTAGACCAACTAGACACGCAGCTCAACATCACAGAGAACGAGTGCCAGAACTACAAGTGAGTGATCCCGAGGTGACCTGAGAGAGAGTTGCTTTAGATTGAAGTCTAGGGAAAGAACTGATCCAGCTTTCCATGATCAGTAAGAGACACCCCTGATTTCAGTGCTTCGTTTTCTTTGTCTGAATGAGATGAAAATTTTATTTTTGTGAGTCCTGTGGTGTACAGCTTCTCCAGCTGAAGTCTCTGAGCCCATCAGAATGACTGATGGCACCTGCCCACAGTGCCTGTGTGGTCAAGGGCTTCACAGAGATGGTTACTGACAGGTAGTATCACTTCCTCAGTCACCATCTCACTCCCCTGTTCTGTGCGTGTTCCTGACTCACAGCGCAGGATCAATGTGGAAAGCTCAGGATTAACAAGAGGTGCACATGAAATCAAGAGTCCCTGTTTTACCTCTGCTCACGTGCACAGGCTGTCACAGAACCAGGGATGGTTGGTGGGGGCCTTGCGTAATTGTGTCACTCACCTTTAGGAGATGTCTGGAGATACTGGAACAGATGAACGAGGATGATAAGGAGAAACTGCAAACAGAACTGAAAGAACTTGCACTGGAGGAAGAGCAACTGATTCAGGAGCTAGAAGATGTTGAGAAGAACCGCAGGATTGTGGCTGAAGACTTCGAGAGAGTCAGGGCAGAGGCAGAGCAGCTGGAGCAGGAAGAAGCTCAGTGAGTGAACTACAATTGCAGTTTATGGCAGTGATTTTAGGTAACAGATAAATGAGATTATAATGTGGAGAAACCTATAACTAATGCCCAAATGCAAGTGGCTTGTTCTTTGCAAAATTGAAGGGGGCTAGAGCAAAAGAAACCTAGTATACCGTGTGAGCAATCACTTTTCTGTAAAAGCCTGCACTTAGCATTTCTTGTCTTGCTTTCATTAAAAGGTATCAGAAAGAATACTGTGAATTCAAGAGGCAACAACTGGAGCTAGATGATGAGCTGAAAAGTGTGGACAACCAAATGCGCTATGCTCAAATGCAGTTGGATAAATTAAAGAAAACCAATGTGTTCAATGCAACCTTTCACATCTGGTAATGTAGGCCCTGGAATATTCCATCAGTTTGCTAAGAATCTGCAACATATGCCCATTTAATACTGCCTTTGACAGGAAAGGTGCTAGTTGAGTCACAGTCGCCCCACAGCAAAGCAACTGGTCACAGCTCCCAACAGTGTCAGCTGAGAGAGGTTTGCAGTGCTGTGCAGATGTCCAAGTAGACTGAAATGGCTCTTTCACTAACCCTGTTAACGAACCGGGACCTACTGTGCTAGCTAACAGTAATCCTCTAATGTCAAGCTTTATAGAGTAGGTAGCTTAGGGTGTTTGGTTGGGGTTTTTTTGGTTTTTGGGGGGTGGCTTTAATGAACTCTTGTAATAAAAAGAGAACAAGTGGTTGGTATTTATATACACTTTTTAACCAGAGCCCCAAACCCTCCTTTTGCGTGGTTAGCAGCGTGCATTCTGCAAATGTTAGTGCGTGGCCCTTGTTTGGTTAGCATGCTAGAAGCTGTTCCTGCCCCAGTGCACTTATTTATAATTCCTCTTGTCACAGGCACAGTGGTCAGTTTGGCACAATAAATAACTTCAGACTTGGCCGTCTCCCCAGTGTTCCTGTAGAATGGAATGAGATCAATGCTGCCTGGGGGCAGACTGTGCTCTTGCTACATGCCCTTGCTAACAAAATGGGCCTGAAGTTTCAAAGGTATATGCAATATAATACACATTTCATTTATGACCCGGATAAAGACAGTTAAACTCATCTGCCTGTGAATCGTATCTCTTTTCAGATACCGTCTTGTACCATATGGCAACCACTCGTATTTAGAGTCCCTCACGGACAAATCGAAGGTAAGAGATCCTGCACAAATCTGAGGACATTGACCTTGAATGCCACAGAGCCCTGGTCATGCTGGGGGACACAGAAGACAAACTCAGCTCTTTATGAATTTATGGTACAGGAGAGCTAGCTAGCCTTCTCCAACATAATGGTATCTCACTCCATATCCTGTATCAAGCCACTTGTTCTGCCATCCAGTAGCATTAAAAATGACAGGACTCTTGAACTATACACTGCAGCTGGCCAGAGGACGATAGCATGATTTGGGATGATTATTGGTGGTTAGGAACCCAAGCCTGCATGCAGTAGGCACTTACCACAAAACAAGTCATAATAAATGTGCCACAAATCATTTCTAAGCATCCTATGACAAATCCTAAGTCTTGCACAAGACTTAAGTGCTGCAATGATCATATCTAAAATGGGGTGCCGGAAACAAATCTCTTTTCCAGGAGCTCCCCTTGTACTGTTCTGGAGGCCTACGGTTCTTTTGGGACAATAAGTTTGATCATGCAATGGTGGCTTTCCTGGACTGTGTGCAGCAATTTAAAGAGGAGGTGGAAAAAGGCGAAACTCGGTTTTGTTTGCCTTATAGGTGAGTGTTGCTACATAACGTCAAATTTACACCTCGTGTGCTCTCCTGTGCAGCATTAACTGACGTCTGTACCAGTCTACAGCACTGCTTGTTGTTTCAGTCTTGTCTTTCTGGACTCATCTGGTATTCTTTCTAATGTGCAGGATTACCACATTTGCTCTTAGTTTAATTGAAATGTAAAGATAGTTCCTCAGGTGAAGATCTGAGGCTTACTAGATTTCCTTTAAAAACAAAGTATTCTTACATAGAATAATATGAATGTCAGATTTAAATTTTAGTACTTGATGTAATATTGAGATTAAATGCTTGCAATAGTAATGTACTAATAAAACTTTGTGATACAGGATGGACGTGGAGAAAGGAAAGATTGAAGACACAGGTGGCAGTGGTGGCTCTTACTCTATTAAAACACAATTTAACTCTGAGGAGCAATGGACGAAAGCACTAAAATTTATGTTAACTAACCTGAAGTGGGGTCTTGCTTGGGTCTCATCCCAATTCTATAACAAGTAACCATGTAAAGAACTCGTTCTGGAAGCTGTGGAATTATCTGCGTTTCGTTGGAGAAAGTCAAATTAAGATGTCATTTAACATTAACCAGTACAAAATGTTTACAATACCAAAAATCCACATGACACTTTATTTTAAATACCATTATTACAATTAGTATATGGAAAAGCAATATGTAAAGCTATTGAGCTGAACAGAATTAAAAAAAAGCAGCTATTCAATAGATGCAAAACTGGTAATTTGGGGTTTATAGATATGCGTATAAATTACTGTCGAACTTCAAAACACCAATGAGTTTGATACTACTCTGTTATAGCTTAACACACAGGTTAGAAAAGCAAAATGTTACAAACACAGGGAATAATGTAGAAGCACTCACAGAAGCTCTGCTTGGTTATTAAAGAGTAACCACAGTTTGAAATAAAATATTTTCTAAGTCATGTCAGCACTTCTTTGTGCCACTGAACTTCAGCAGGTTTGATACTGTTTAAAATACTGTTATGTTATTAACTATTTGTAATACTTCCTGCAGCTTATTCTTGCACAGAGGTGCTATTCTACACAAAGAATGCTTTCATCTAGCATATGCCAGGTACAGCATAAACAGCCCGTGGCACTTACATGGACATGCTGAACAGGCATCTGCTGTGGTGACAACTGCATCGCTTTCAAAACTGGTGGGATTCTGTCCTTGCACAACACTGGTCAAAACCCCAGCTTTCTTAGGGTAAGACCAAGCAGGCTCTGAGCACTGGCAAAGACGGAACACAGTAACAAGCAGCCTGGCTGCAGCAGGCTGCCTGAGACAGTAATTAATTTTTTAAAAAGCAGCAATTGGAGAAAGAAAGTACAGCCCTGTTTGTAATGACTGGTCATGCAAGCTGCTTCTAGCACTACAGATTACCATGCACTTTAATGCCTTTTCAAAACATAACTCTTCTTAGTTTTCTCTTTATTCAAAGGAAAGTTGTATTCGTAACTTAGAAGATGCAGCTCCTACCATAAAGCTTTTGGTGCTGAAAGAGGTATTTCTAAATGCTACTTCGCTCCTGTGTGCCTTCCTTCATAGCACTAGCGCATTGCCTGAACGGACAATCTTTTCTAATTAACACATAACGTACAAAAGGTTACAGAACATCTGGTGTTCAAAACCAAAAGTAAAACCAAATTGTGTTAGGTGCCCTGTGCAGTATCACAGAAGATGGACTATTATCAACAGCCTAACAGTTTGCTACTGATATGCTAGTGACTGGCCGTAGAAGATAGTTCTATTTAAGAGACACCATTCTGTTCTCTGGAGCTTTTGTTCCACAGTTCCTATAGCGCTGCTTCGGAGTGGTACTGCCAACGATGTGTTTCAGTACTGCATAAGAAAATTCTAAGACACTTTGTGAAGTAATGCCAGTGATACAGTTTAAATGCTCCACAACCTTAAAAAAAAAAAAAGTATACTTACTTACAGTGCCTAAGAGACATTAGTTTACAGACATACTTCTTAACCCTCCAAATCTAATGAGAATAACAGTGCTCCCTGGGAAAACGCTAGTGGCTCTTTGACAGAAGTTGAAGCGTCTCAGCATGGCTTTTTGCTTGCTTGTTTTGGGGTTTTTTTTGTTTGTTTGTTTTGTGCTTTTTTTTTTTAATTATTTACTTGCTTCTATTGAAGAAGTAAAATGAAAAAGCTACTCTCTGTAATAGGCTGTTTGTTAATAGTATTCACTAGCAGTTTGGGCAGAAAGTTGTCCCATGGGATTGCTTCTCCAGCTGTCAATGAAACAGTGTCTCTGGGGGTTTGTTCTGGCTGTAAAGAAGCTGAAGCATGAGCATAAGCTCACACCAGTGCAAGCACAAGCCTTCCTGGGGAATTGCCTGTGTACCCTCATAACACTCTTAAAGTACACACGGTTCCTGCTAAAAAACCTGAAATGTCACCTCCCTCATGCTACTCCCAGTACAGTCTACCTGTCTTTTTGCTGTGCTTAAACATACAAACAACCTTCACATTTTTTTCATGTGGAGCTAATGTGTTTAGAAGTGACTGTACCTGCTCCCAATGCCCAGGGTTTAGTATGAACACGCTTGTGCTGATGATTCCAACAGCCAAGAGCATGAAATCTTCCTTTACTGTCAAGAACTTTGCTCTGCAGAAGTAAAAGCATGTTCTGGTATAAAATTATGCTAGTTTTACAGTTCAAAAGCACCTACTTCCGTAACCACTATACAGCCTATGGACACGTTAGCTTATTCAGTCCAAATAAAGCCTGATACTGTTAACCGTAACTGACAGTGCTAAAGCTGGATTTTTAGAATTAAGTTAAACACTTTCCTAGCTTGTCCCTAAAGCAAATGTGGTGAAGCACATTGCTTTGAGCTTGTATATTAAGGTCAATAAACAACACTGAAAGCCCCTCAAATAAAAATGTTTTAAAACATGCCAAAAAAATGGCATAATGGGAATTGTACTACTATTTATTAGGGTTTTTCAGGGTTTTCGTTTCAACTAGTTATTTTGAGCAATAGTCATGTAAACTACTTACACCTGCAGTTTGCTTGGTGTTGAATTTTCGATGGCAATCTTCAACAAAGTGTCGTAGATGGTATCTCTTGTAAGATAGGAGAAGTCTAGTAGTTGCATACACATCTGATGTAATGGTTTTGCAGGAAGCAAGCAGCCGTTATGTCCTAGCGCAGAGATCATAAATAATCAGCCATACATTTTGAGTCACTAAACTGAATAAGAAAGAAGTGTTAGTTATTGTAAGCGAGTGATGCAGATTTCTCGTGACAACTGCCCTTGGTTTCTGAATGCCACAGGTCTTCTCATGCCATAGACTTTGTCAATCTCAGCATAATTTCACTTACTCTGAAATACAGGTTGTCAGTCCTAGGCAAAGAAAATGGGAAGTTATTGTAGAAAATGTGGCCCTACACTAGGTTTTGGCAGTTTTAAACTCTTAAATCTTTTACTGGCTCAGTCATGACTGGCTGTCCAACAACATTCATGAGATTCTACTAAGGACAAAGTTCTCATCTGAAAACCCTGGACAATCTGAAAAGTTTCATGTGCCTTCACAGTATGCAAAAATCTGTAATGTGAGACATTTTGGTTCAGATCACTAATAGCTCTATTACTGATTAATTAAAAAAAAAAATTCTTTCCTATTCTCTCCTATTAATACTCTTACCTAAAACCTCTAGAAGCAATTCTGTGTAAGCTAAAGGAGTTGACACGTTGATCTGGAAGTGCAGAGTTTTTAAAATGGCAAGCTCAGACTCAATCAATTCCTGTTTAGTGTATGAGTATTTTAAGGATTGCAGAAATTTTAAAGCTGTGTCACTGTTAACTATCTGAAGAGAAAAAAAAAAAAAAAGACAAATTATCTTCTAGGCAATAAGGCACTTGCTAAGAACAAAGTATTTTCTTGCTTTACTCCTCCCATTGAATTTAAGCGTAAACAACTGCAGTGGTGATGCTGCCTGCTAACCCAGTGGTCGAACTCATCTTTTAAGCTGGCATGAGAAATCCAGCTTGGACCTTCTTTCCCGTAGGTTTCCTCTACCCAACAAACCTTCCCCATGCAGGTGTGAACCCTTTCTAGCCATACAATTTTTGACAACCACAGGCTAAGTTTTCCCGCTACCTGTACTTTTTTTTCCCCCGGAGTACTGGGAACATTTCCTGACAGATTGTTACTTGATGAGTGACAACTGATCTGCCCTAAACAGAAGAGATTTAGGTCTTCATTTCAATATCCTTTGCATTTCATTATCACTACTGTATTTCAGAGAGGAAATCTATTTTTTAAGAGAGATTAATATACTACACAATTTTCTACACTGCTAAAAAATGCTATAGGAAAAAGTTTAGCTGGCTTACATTATAGTGTAAGGAAAGTTTGCTTGCAAGCTGAATGCACGACACAAGTCGCAGGACAAACGTGTCATATATTTGATCTTTCAAAGAGCTCCAGCTGCTGCCTTGTCCTTGTTCACGACTTTTAACATTCTCTCTGGAGGACTCACACATTTGTTCTACTTGCTTGATCATAAACCTACAAAAACTACAATTGCTCAGAAAACAGTTCTCTTCTGCTAAGAAAAAGGAAGAAAAGCAGTTCTGCATGTACTCAGAATATATGGATAGCTGTTAATTTGAATTAAATGAGTGAAGAGACAAAGCTTTAGACATGCAAAAATTGTTTGAATGAGTGCTATAGAGCATGCACAGTGTAACCACATGAGAGAAATGAGAAATGCACTGAGGAATTAAGATATTTATTACCTTTCAAGTAACTCTACCGCTTGGTACCTTGCTGATTGGTCCAGGTGCCATTTTTCAGACAAAAGGAATATAAATTCTGCAAAAAAGCGCAACAGTAACTCACTTCAGTCAACTGAAGCTCATTATACAGTAGTTACCCATCTGAGGAGTTAGCTGTAGTTGAGAAAAAGTCTCACCCACTATCTGTGTCTCTTTGAAGCATCCGGCCTGATCTGACAGTTCACTCAGGTACTGTTCATTTTCTGTGGCCAAACAGATCAGTGTATCCTCAATAATCTCAGGAGCGACCTCGCCAAAGATGGGGGCTGGGTCACAGCACCGGGACGCTGTTTGCACCTGGGACCCCATTTAGCAGTTCAGGTCAGAGACCTTAGGGATGGTAACTATTTCAAAGGCACCACAGCACTTTGTCTCCACCGGTGGGAAAGGGCCCCA